GTAGGTGTGCATGTATGTATTTACGTATATATATATATATATGTGTGTGTGTGTGTGTGCGTGTACGAATTAGCCACTCATTACGTGGTCACAGGCTAACCAACTCCTGCCAAAATCCCGTCTGCCAACCCTCCCTCTCCGACTCTTAGATCCTCATAGTATCTATCCCCCATTGTCTAGCACATTGTCGTTTCGAGTCCTCATGGTGATCCAGGCTATTTTCTTTCACACATGTTTTCCCGACACCCCCCTACAGGGCCGCCGAGGCTGGAGCTGCGCCTGACACAGCTGCGGTCGCCCACTCTTGCCTTCCAGCTTTACATCTTGAGGCGGTATTTCGACTGGAGGGAGGGCATAACAACGGGCAGATGGACGAGTGAAAATTGCCTAAAAGGGCAATTGTTCAAGATCCCAGACAGCAGGAAATGGAGCAATTGACGAGAACGAAAGTCATGTTTCTGTCACGTAGTAGCATGCTTTTTCTTCCCCATTTCTGCAAAGTTTATCAGGTAACCAGGGCTACAATTAGTTTGCGTGTGTTTGCTTGAATGCGTACGCATGCCTGGACAATCGTGTACACGAACGAGACGGAGGCAATCTGTGGGCGCATGTACAGTGCCCCCTTCGGGGGGTACAAAAATGCATGCCGACACGTTACGAGAACACCGGACCCTTTTGGCCAGTAGTCAGGCTGGTAACGGGGGCAAGTGAGCGATCGCCCGGGCAGACAATTATCATTTAGGCCATACCGAAATGGAGTACTGGGCACCAGTTGACCTGACTGAGGCTGTCCCCAAAGCAATCTAAACTGCCGCCTTGACGGTTTTTCTGGTCTTCATTTCTGTCGAAGATCGTGGACAACGTTCGAGACGATTTAGACGGCGCCGCCTTCAAATCGCCTCCATCATGATCCAGGTTCAAATAGGCCAATCCTTGCACTTTCGTTAAATTGACCTTTTTTGAGTGGGCCTTGCTTCAGAAGGATAAGTTTGCTCGAGAGGATTGGCAAATTGGGCACCCGAAACAGAAAGGGATTTACGAAGGAAAGTCAGTTTTAAGGAATGTCTTGAGCAATACTTGCTAAACTGGCCTCCATTTCAAGTGAAAATGTGTCTAATGAAGAGATTCACGTGACGACGGCTCTCTACTCTTGGCCAGCTTACAGGTTGACATGTGCTGTGAACTAGCCAACTTACTTTACATCTCATCATAATGCCTAGATTCAGGATATACAATAATCATTGAGAAGAATTGAGGGAGTTTCTTTGACAACACAGCAAAGATGTGACTTTCAAAGCTGGCTGAGCCTCTCCTTATTCTCATACATGAGGAAAACTGAGTATAGAAGAATTCCTTGGGGCTATATTGTAGTATGAGTTTTCATTTCGAAGAAATAGTTAATTATATTAGAGAATAAATAGAAATAAACAAAACAGCCAACAACTTGAATAGCACGAAGGAGTGTACGAAGCGGAATAGGAGTTATATGTGGTTTGTTTTTGCTTTGTTGAGCTTACTTCCATTTCAAGTGGAACTTTTGGGAAAAGAGATTCGC